TGCCTCCTGATGTGGCTCAACCCGCGAATCAATACCTGTCCCCAAACACATCCAAAAATATGAATCCAGGTGCTGGAGGTGCACAGAAAAAGGCTGACGCCCAAGATTCAGATTCGGTAAGCCGCCCTTTGAGTCTCTTTGATCCTTTTTCCCATCATCGACCCAGGCCATGGATATATCAAGTTCAGAAGACAGCACCTCACTGATGGCCAAAGCTGTGTCAAAGCCAAACGTGGGTGCTGCATCCTCTTCGCGACTTGGTGGTCTATCCGCAGAGGACCAGTCGTACGCAGAAGCCGTCCTGACCATCATATGTTCACATCCAGCAGCCCAACCTTTTCTACGACCCCTCGACCCAGTGAGGGAAAATGCACCCAACTACTTTCGCGTAATCGAAAAGCCCATGGACCTCGGGACGGTCGAGAAACGGTTAAAGAGCCACAAGGATCCAAGCACGAGGAAAAAATTCGAACGCTACCCGAATGTACAAAGTTTTGTGGATGAAGTTAATCTCGTGTTCGATAATTGTTTCAAGTATAATGGCACACTGCATAATGTGTCGCAGCTTGCGATCCAAGTCAAAAAGGTATTTGAAGAAAAGATGGCAGAAGCTCCTAGTGGAAAGGTATGTATATTTCTTTACTAGACAATCGCCTTGTCTGACCAAAATAGGGGCTTAAATTTACCCTGGTCCCGAAACCGGCATCTGCACCCACAAACGATAAACAAAATACGGTCCCTAGGATTATACATGGTTCTGCCAAACATCATAGTCCAAATGCACCAAGGAAGCGGGGTTTGCCCGGAGGGCCTCTCGCTCCTGCGTCGGTCAGTCGCTCGAGGCGTGACCCCATCCGTATCGCACAAGACAAATTTTGTAAAGCGGTCCTCGACCACCTTTATCACCCACAGCACGAAACCGCAGCCTTTCCTTTCCTTCGCCCTGTCGGTGTGTATCCTCCTCATGTCGAATGCCCATAACTGAACCCCTGCAGACCCAGATCTTTATCCGGATTATTTCTCTCAAATTCAAAGGCCTATGGATCTCTCTACTGTTCAAGACAAGTTATCGCATGGAGCATATGGGTCTGCTGGCGATTTCAGAGACGACATCAAGTTGATGTTTGCTAATTGCTATCAATATAACCCCAGTTGGGCCACTGTCTGGTATGATTTCCTGTATATATCAGACTTGGTCACTCATTTCGAACCCAGGAAACTCGGCAGGCAACTAGAAGAAGTTTTCGATTCAAAATGGAAAGAGCTCCCAGGAGGCG